AGCCCCCCCCCGCCCGGGCCTGCCTGCAGAGCCTCCCCCCCCCTACTAGCCCCATCCCCAGAGCCACTTCCAGTGCCAGGTCCCCACCCCGGATGCCCCAGTGTCACCCCCCTCCCATTCCTAGTGCCTACCTTGCCCCCCTCACCTAACCCTGCGCTGCCTCCCAGCTGCCAGCTGAGCACTGCTGCCTGGGTCGTGGCTGCTCTAAGGTTGCCATGCTGGGCTCCACGTAGCTGCAGCGAAGCACTCTTCCATATCTGGGAAGAGATCCTGCCTCTGCCTGGCACTTGTTGGCAGAGAGGCGGGGACAGACACACCTCTCCCAACAGCCATGGCGGGAGGGGAGGCATTGGGCGGCGTATACTAACCCTGGCTCCCAGAGTCACTGCAGCCCGGCAGCTGGGAACTGCGAAGTTAGAGCTAAGGGAATGTAGGAAAAGTGAGATGTAGTAGTTAGCAGTCTCATAATTGCAAAGAACCTGAGATAAGAGTCGCAGCACATAAGCAGGAATTCTGATGCATGTTGTGGTGTTGAAGCTGCTCCATAATACTGTATATACATTGCAGCAGCTTCATTTTTGGCAAAAGGTTGATGGGCTGTCTTGAATTAAAGGCTGTATGATAACTCAAGCAAACTCTAAAACATAACTTGGAACACAGCAAGCTATGGTTCACATAGCCCCTCTTCTCTCACCAATATGCCAAACCCTGTCACTCATAGCCGTGTTCAGAGAGCTTTGACAGAGTGAAATGGCTGGAGGGTGAGATGCACAAGCACTGATCATTTCATATCCATGCTCACTGAAGACTTTTTGCCTCTGTCTTCACAGACGAGGTCAGCTCCCAGACTAGTGTGTTGCCTAGTGCAGTAACGGGAAGGAGGTGGGCAGCCCTTGGTGGAGAAAGAACAGGTTAAAAACTATTTAGAAAAGTTGGACATGCACAAAGCAGATTTAATGCATCTGAGGGTGCTGAGGGAATTGGCTGAAAGAGTTGGCCATTATCTTTGAAAACTCATGAAGATCAGGGGAGGTCCCAGATGACTGGAAAAAGTCAAATGTAGTGCCCATCTTTTAAAAAGGGAAGAAGGATAATCCAGAGAGCTACAGACCAGTCAGCTTCACTTCATTCCCCAGAAAAATCATGGAGGGGATCCTCAAGTAATCCATTTTGAAGCACTTGGAAGAGAGGAAAGTGATCAGGAATAGTCAACATGGATTCACCAAGGGCAAGTCATGCTTGACCTACCTGACTGCCTTCTCTGACAAGGTAACTGGCTCTGAGGACATGGGGAAGTTGATGGATGGTATATAGCTTGACTTTAGAAAAGCTTTTGATATGATCTTCCACAGTATTCTTGCCAGCAAGTTAAGGAAGTATGGATTGGGCTCAACAGGTGGTGATCAACAGCTCGCTGGCTGGCTGGCAGTCAGTTTCAAGCGGAGTTCCCCAAGGGTCAGTTGTAGGGCCAGTTTTGTTCAACATCTTTATTAATGACCTGGACGAGGGAATGGATTGCACCCTCAGCAAATTTGCAGATGACGCTAAGTTAGAGGGAGAGGTAGATACGTTGGAGGGTAGGATAGGGTCCAGAGTGACCTAGACAAATTGGAGGATTAGGCCAAAAGAAATCTGATGAGGTTCAAGTGCAGAGTCCTGCACTTGAGGTGGAAGAATCCCAAGTACTGGTACAAGCTGGGGACTGACTGGCTAAGCAGCAGTTCTGCAGAAAAGGACCTGGGGATTACAGTGGATGAGAAGCTGCATATGAGTCAACAGTGTGCCCTTGTAGCCAAGAAGACTAACAGCATAATAGGTTGCCATAGGAGGAGCATTGCCAGCAGATCTAGAGAAGTTATTATTCCCCTTTATTCAGCTCAAGTGAGGCCACATCTGGAGTACTGTGTCCAATTCTGGGCCCTCTATTACAGAAAGGGTGTGGGCACATTGGAGAGTGTCTAGTGGAGAGCAACGAAAATGATTAGGAGGCTGACCTATGAGTAGAGGCTGAGGGATTTGGGCTTGTTTAGTCTGCAGAAGAGAAGAGCGAGGAGGAATTTGATAGAGGCCTTCAACTTCCTGAAGGGAGGTTCCAAAGAGGATGGAGAGAGGTTGTTCTCAAATAGTGACAGATGGCAGAACAAGGAGCAATGGTTGAGGTCTAGGTTGGTTGTTAGGAAAAACTACTTTATGAGGAAGGAGGTGAAGTACTGGAATGGGTTACGTAGGGAGGTGGTAGAATCTCCATCCTTATAGGTTTTTAAGTCCCAGCTTGACAGAGCCCCGGCTGGGATGATTTAGTTAAGGTTGGCCCTGCTTTGGGCAAGGGGTTGGACTCAATGACCTCCTGAGGTATCTTCCAGCCCTACGATTCTAAGATATACTCAAGTGCTGACCTAGACAGACAAGTACAGTCCCACTATTCATCTTGATGTTGGCCTGCATCCAAACCCTAAGTCACAAAAGCCACACAGCCGGTCAACCAGAGCTTCCCATGATGTGATA